TCAAGTCACTAGCACTGATGGGGGGAGTTGTAGCTTTGCACTTTGAAAAGCTATACCGCCGGAGACGGAAATCCGTGGGATAATATAAGGTGTGAAATTTTTAGGGTAGACGTTTTCTAACCCCATGCTTGCGTTGTGAGGTGACATCACTGGAGATACTGACTGTCCGAGGAAAATCCCTTACTGTTGTCGCACCCTTTTTCAGTCAGCAAGTACGACGTCGCCCTCGGACCTTAAGTTGCTGCTTTTAACCTTACCGTTTTCCAGATTACCTGACTGAAATGGTAGGACCTAAAGGAACATGTGTCTCAGCCACTTTAGCTCGATCGAGCCATCAAGATAGGCAAGCCCGTCCACTATACGTTATGACAACAGCTACAATTGAGGAGTGGATAAAACAAAAATTACCAGAATACAACAGAAATAATTAATGATTGAACTCCTCAGAATTCAGTCGAATATTAAACAGAACGACCATTATAACGAGTTAATAATAGTCCTAATCTCCCATTACTACATATAAATTCTGGCACAATCGGGCACGGAAAAAGTATGCACCATACATACAACGGTGGTCGAAAAGAGAGTCGTCGAAAACCAGCTAAGAGGTGGCATGTTTCACAGCCATAAACCAAAACTGCTTTTACTAACGCATTTTAAATTTGAGCATCTACAACCAGACTAACATCATGGCAGCGCCGAAGATGGGATAGATTTATATGAAATCCTTTGGCTTTCACCATAAGCAGACTCATCAAATGCCACACTACCAGGAGCATTCATACAGCAGTTTAGGTGCACGAACTTTTCGACTGCTTCTAGTGAACCATCACAAAATGTGATTGTTTACACTCATTGTGTTTGGTGATTCATAAGTAGTTGTAAAGTTAGTGTATCTAAGTACAGAGAATGTCAGATAAAGAATTCCACTCAAACAGAGCACATCACAACCGATTATGATAACTATAATTTCTGAAATAAAAATAAACAACTCTAGGTCAGTTGTATTATTATTACTTCCCTTCGGAACTTTAAACAAATTAATAACCTGGTGTTGTCCGTACATTTTTAGTCAAATTCCTGCTGAGCTGTAGTAGCCAGAAGTAACTTAAACCTGTAGGCTTTACCTTAATTGATAAATGTCGATATTTATGGAAAACACTTGTCTTGCTTCGATTAACAACCAAACGATTCACATTATTATTGTTATTGTTATTATTTACTACGTCATTTATTCACTCTCTTTTATTCCCACTTTATGTATCCTTATTTTTCAACTTATACAACAGCTCGCCTATGGTGGAAACTCGGTTCTATCTAAACGTTCTTGAGTCACTGACTGGTTGAAAATTGAATGCTACCACCAAATACGAATACTGAAGCAGTTTTTCTGAAACCACATGCACCATTCAAACTGGCTGCCTTCAACGTTCGCACACTTATGCAGGTCAGACAATAGATAGGGCTGGCTTTGTCTTTGGAAAGTCTCGATATCGACGTTTGTTGTCTATCCGAGACCCGTATTCAACACTGGTGAAGCACTACAAATTCGTTCTCCATCTGTCGCTTCAAAAAGCTTGTTTTACGTATATTTATCCGGGGACCCTGTGGCATTTTCGTCTGGTCTTGCTGGCGTTGGTGTCGCACTAAGCGCTAGAGCTGAGGCAGCACTAGTCGATTGGATCCCCATTAACAGTCGGTTATGTGCTGTTAGGTTAGAAAGTTTCATCAAATTGAGAAGAAATAGGCGTGAGGAACGATGTTTTTTCGTCATCTCCGCCTATGTCCTGACAGATTGCAGCCCGGATGAAATCAAGGATGAGTTTTACCACCAGTTATCTGTTCTTCTCCAGAAAGTGCGTTCGACAGATATTGTAGTACTAGCCGGAGACTTGGATGCTCAGGTCGGGCGTCTTAGACACAGAAGAGTCGTTTAGGTGGCCGATGGGGACTTGTTGGTCACAGGACAGATAACGGGGACCGTCTACTGTAACTGTGCACAGACCACAACCTGTTTCTGGCTAGCACTAACTTTCGGCACAGTCATCGCCGATGTGCCACATGGCGTCCTCCCTCTGCATCTCAAGCCTGGACTCAGATTGATCACATCGCGATCAGCTACCGCTGGCGTGGTTGTGTACAAGACTGCCGCTCCTTTTGGAGTACCTATCTGGACTCTGACCATGCCTTGATCTGCGCCAATCTTGCCTTACTTTTCAGTGGCCAACGAAGTGACCGCCACCAACGGATTGATGTTAGCAAGCTGGTTGCAACTTCTGTTGCTAGTTAGTATCGAACCGAGCTAGCTCCTAGGCTAGATACCATTCCACGGAAAAGTATAGATGAGCATTGGTTGCAACTGCATGACGCCATGAAAATGGCGAGTACAGCTGCTTGCGGCTTCGCGAAACGTCCCGCTTATAAGCACTGAGTTTCTTTAGGCTCCTAACAACTCATCGAAGCCCGTCGGTCTACTCCGGGTGACCGTGAGTTTGACCACAAACGAAGGGTGTTGCGTAATGAAATCGGGCAAAGCTTGTGCAAGGACCGAGAAGTTTAGTGGTCGGAGCGTGCTAATGAGCTGGAAGCAGCAGCTGCATCTGGTAACTACCGGAAGCTTTTCCAACTCATCCGAGCCACTGGCAGCAAGAAGTCTGGTGTGAGCGAGGATGACGGGATGCCAATCACTAACATCCATCGACGTCTTGGACGATGGGCAAAATTATATGAAGGGTAGTTCAACTAGCCTGCTGCTCCAGCAACATCGGTCGGACTGTTCTGCCCTCCATGGCCGGTGATGACTGATCTACCAAATGATGCGGAAGTCCGCAAGGAACTCCAACTCTTGAAGCGCTACAAATCACTGGGGTCCAGATGACTTACCTTCGGCTCTTTTTATAGATGGTGGTGACTTTCTGGCTGAGGAATTGACGACGTTGTTTACAAAGGTCTGGGAACTAGAGAGTGTACGAACGTCATGGAATGAGTCGATAGTTGTCCCTATCTTTAAAAAGGGTTCACGTCGTTCCTGTAACAACTATCGGGGGATAAGTTTGCTTCCGATTGCGTCCAAGCTATTGGCTTCCGTCATACTTCGTAGGTTGTTCAAAACCCGAGAAAGATTGACTCGTGAGGAGCAGGCTGGGTTTCGTTCGGGTCGAGGATGTATTGATCATATCTTCACCCTCCGCCAAATGTTAGAACACCGTCATACACATCACAGGCCAACAATCGTAGTGTTTCTTGACATCAGGGCTGCCTTCGATTCGTTGGACAGGATTGTTCTCTAGGATTGTTTATTGAAGAAGGGTGTGCCTGAGAAGTTTATTAACATCCTAAGAGCCCTATATACAAACACCTCAGGCAGAGTGAGGGCATACAACCACCTTTCTCCATTGTTCTATTCCAGCAGTGGGGTTAGGCAAGGTTTGGCCAATCTCACCATTCCTCTTCAACTTTGCCATCGATGACATTCTGGAAACAGCTCTGATGGATGTAAGTAATGGTGGTGTGGATCTGTTGCCTGGAGAAAGACTTCTCGACTTCGAGTATGCGGATGATATTGTCTTACTGTGAGATGATGCCCAAGTCATGCAATCCGCACTTGACCAGTTGGCAATCAGTGTCCGTAGGTATGGTATTTGCTTTGCACCTTCGAAGTGCCAAGTACTTCTACAAGACTGGCAGGTTTCTAACCCTGTACTCACTCTGGATGGTGAGCAGATAGAAGTAGTCGAGAAGTCCGTGTATCTAGGTAGCTGCATAAGTGCTGGTGGGGGCGTGAGTGATGAGATCAATGCACGTATAGTGAAAGCCAGAGCGGCTTATGTCAATCTGGGCCACCTTTGGCGCCTTTGTAATGTTAGTCTGGCTGTAAAAGGTCGAATCTACAGCGCGTCGGTGATAGCAGTTTTGCTCTATGCTTGTGAAACCTGGCCTCTCCGAGTTGAGGATGTTAGACGACTCTCTGTGTTCGATCATCGCTGTCTCCGAAGGATTCCTGACATTCAGTGACAACACCATGTTAGTAATGTAGAAGTTCGGCATCGTGTGTTCGGGCACAGAGACGACAATTCAATTGGTGTCACCATCTTGAAACACCGACTTTGGTGGCTTGGACATGTTCTCCAAATGTCATCCCAGAGAATTCCACACCGTTCATTATTTGCCGACTCTGGGACTGGTTGGAAAAAGCGGAGAGGTTGTCAGTCTACGACACGGTGTCGTAATATGAAAGAAGGATGTATAAGACTGCCTTATGTCGGTCTCTTGCGACTCCCTGGCTGGGGTCCTAGAAATGGCGCAACATAGTGGCTAGAGACGTTATCAGATATGGCTCAGAATAGAAGCCAGTGGCGATCCTGCTGTAAACTTCTTTTAATTTCTTCATAGAAAATGGTTGTTTTTCCCTTAACTGAAAGATTCCTTCTCATTGTACCTTTCCGTTTCCTCCATTATTACGATTATTATTATTATTATTATTATTATTATTATTATTATTATTATTATTATTACACTACCTTACACTAATCTGTTCGTTATTGTTCTTTTTTCACGCTCCTTACCTTCTTTTCTTTCTCTTCGAATTCTCATTGTTTTGTGTGGCGCATATATATTTGGTGCCCTCTTGTACAAATATTTATGTGTTCAAATAAATAAATAAATAAATTGATGAACTAAATATGGGATCTTAGCGGACAGTAAGTCAAAAATTGGAAGTATATTAACTAATCACACCTCCCTCTTATATAGCAATAATTGAAGTAGCTTTATTTGCTTTGAAATTACAAAGCTCTATTTGGCATACCCACTTCGCACTCAACAATCATTAAAAACGCGCTGATTTCAACTACAGGGTTCTAAAGTGAAGCAAACACGCGAGCAACGAGGGTAGTAAAAATAATATGTCTTGAAATATTATAACAGACTAAATACGCAGCAATGAACACAGACAAAAAGTCTGATTAAAAAATTGGAAATAATTTTTATTTCAGACTTGTTTACAGCTGTACAATGACAGGTGCTTCATCTCCATCCCAGTCAAATTCTTCAATAGGAATTTCGGTTATATTTGGAGTAGACCTTTGTAATAACTGATATGAAGTGATCATATCCCATTTGAATCGATGTTTTATGCTATGAGCAAAGCCATCTGCACGTTTAAAGAGATCTTTCAGAATATTACTAGTTTCACTGGGAGATGTTTTGTTAGCTATATCAGAAGTACAAACAGAATAAATATTTTTCAAAAGACGCCCAATCATAGTTGGTAAAAAGCCAGGTTCGGTTAATTTCCACTGTGTACTCGAGCTAGATGATTCCGAAAAGAAAATATCGAGTAACTCCACAGCTGAATTGCTACTTGACACCTCTGATCTATTTGCATTAGTTAACTGGTGATAAATAACTGTAATGAAGTCAATGTACAAATTAGGATAATTAACAATCGCTTTCTCACAATTAGCGAGTAATTGGAATATACGACGCCACTGTTCCCAGCCTTCCATTGAATGATCTAAAATGGAAAGGTCAGGGCAAATACATCCATCGTTAAAATCACCGTAACAATTAATCTCATAAAAATTAGATTAGATACCTAGTTGGGTTTAAGCACATTTCGGAGCGTTTACTATGACATCCAATATATTACTATAGCTAATAAGATGTAAAATTTGAATTATAAGATCACAAACTATCATCTCAACATCAGCCAATATATATATATATATATATATATATATATATATATATATATATATATATATATAATAAAAATACGTACTTAATAATAAATTGAGAAAAGCAAATTGAAATTCACCGAGCAGCTCGCGAGCAGATTCCAGATCCTTACTTAAGCCACTGGCCTTTTCTGAATTGATGCTCGAGAAGATTACGTCCATAGTAGTACAAAGAGTATATGTTTGATCCATACAATGGGCAGTGATTTCCGATGGAGATGAAAGAGGTGGATAAAGTGGTTTTGTTGGAATTGAAGTAAAACGTACCTGAGGTGGATGAGATATGGAAATTCAGCAAATCTATCGAGAAATATTTTGTGTTAATTGTTTTACAAGTAAAACATAAAATAATTCAGACTGCATAACATCAAACTTTCTGATCATAGACGCTACTCTGATGTGGTGGTAGGACTTGACTTTTGTAACAACCCAGTTACGTTATATTGGCTACAGCACTCATCCTAACACCCTAGGCAGTATAGCAATAAACATTTGTTCCAGGTGTTTGCTTTGTTCATAAAAACAGTGAACTCATTACAAGGGCAATCAGTACTAGATTGAGGTAACACTACGGTTTTTTACTACTAAGAAAAAGGACGTTAAGCCATTACTAAAGATTTATACAGGTCACAAGATAAAGAGAACAGGCTTACTAAACAAATCCATACCCATGAACTAGGTGATGACACAAACTACTACTTAGTGTTTAGATCTTGATAAACCAAGAATTCAATAATTTCAGGTCGTATACAAAGACGAATCAGTCACATTTCCACAAGATATCGTCTAAGGAATTTGCTTGAAGTTTACACTACTAAGACCGAATGAAGCTTGAAAATATCAGCCAAATATTACTCAAATATTAAGATTATTATTATTATAGAAACCTTAACTTTGTATGAGTGAAAAGTAAACAAAATAATGATTACCTCTGTACCAGGAATAATAGATAAATTCGGTAAGAGGTCTTCTGAATTTTTATTTGGACAGCTAGTCGTATAGGAATTTTTAAGAGCCAGGCGTTCTTGGGTATTAGAGGGTTCAGATAAGAAGTGTGGACAGGAATATAGACGACCACAGTAGGGAACAAGACGAGTTAATGTACATGTTGTTATAAAATTAGACAACGAAATCCAATCTCTGTGTCTAGATTTACAAGAAAGAGTTGGGGATGTAAACGATATACTAAAATAAAATAACTAAACATTAGAAACTAGATAAAACTGAGAATCTCAGTTTGTGAGACAAATCTGGTGAATATTAAACATAGTTGAAAAAACATAATAAAGTATGTACACATTAATCCATTTACTTGCACTGTAACACGATATTAATCAGTAATTCAATAAAGATTAATATCAATACAGTTTTAAATACACTGGACAGGTTTTCACTTATCTATGAGCAGAATTTTTATTGGTAAACAACGCTGAAACCAAAAAATATCCTCCTCTCTGAGTAACTCTCAGGACAAAGTTTTTAAGATAACAGGAAATATGACACTGGAGTCATATTATTTGAAACTCAAAATCCAACTAGTACGTAATTATAATAAAGATATCATTATTACCTTTAGAACACAAATTACCGTCACATAAAAAATTACTGTTTCACTTCGAAATTCAAATTCCATATGATAACAAAGGAAATAAAAACAAAAATGGATTAAATAAATCAATTCATAAGAACATCTCAGTATTACATGATACACGAAATATATTATCGAAGCAATAGAAAGAAATGTTAAAGGAAAGTTAAGCGATCGTTCAAAAGATGAGTTAGTCGTCGACAGAACGTATAACGAGCTTAAATCTCGAGAATCCTTTTTGTCTCATTTGTATGACCTATCAAGCAAATGTTTCAAGCGTATCCGTTAGGATATTATAACCCTTTTAAAGAGCAATAAACATCTAAATAAGCTACCATGGAAGCTAATGGCTCTATAAGATAAGTAACTTGGCAATTCGACAGAAGAAAATATCACGATAATGAGAGTTCTGATCTTTAAACGGTAATTGTTTAAGTCAACCCTAGTGCAAATGACTTACGACTCCGCAGGATACTGCCCCAGATACATAGAAATTTCATCGAAATTCGAAATAATACGTTCTACTTCGTTATCAGTCAATTTAATATCTATGAAATCTGGACAAGAGGACGAAAACGTTATTGGTCTTTTAAGCAATATATAACGAATTACCCTCTTTTTCTTTTTGCCACTTCTTAACAATGAAACCAGGTTGAGTGAAATTTGCTACGAATCCAACACGTTGACCTGACATACAGTCTGAATTTACGGCACTGTTTAAAAAAGAGACAAGTAGAACAATAGAAGTCATGTATATTACTCCAGAAATTTTCAAGTTAATTGAAATTTAAGTGGATAACTCTACTAGCCAGTCTCAGAAAAGGCTACACTTTATGGTCTACTTCAGCTGTCTCAACCTAGAATAGCATTTTCTTTCACTAACCATTCAACTGATAAGAGGATAATTTATATCACGCCCATTTTGACAAAATCCCCAAACATATATTTTATGAATACGAATTTATTAACGCTTAGATGTTACAAGACAAGTGTTAAGAAAGAAATGCTCACTAAAAAACGTCCCATTTAACTGAGGTTGGATACTCTGCAGTTATAGTGACAAAATAGATGTTTGAGGTAAAATCTTCATATGAATTACGAATTAATCACAAGCTTGTAAATATACTCATCGAGTAAGGGTGAGGAATATTATCTAACCTCTAAGAGCAAAGTGATGGAAAATCAGAGTACCGGATATCTCTCCTTAAAAGAGAGAAACAATTTTTTTATATGATGATCTACAGGCGGGTTTAATTTTATGGTTTTGCTGATTATCACAGGTTAGATAATTACCAATTATAATAAATAATACCCGACGGTTCGCTGTACAAAATCAACAATATGGTCCACTTAACTTTACTGAGTAAAACAGTGAAAAATCTCTTATCGCTCTACGAATGTTCAACTTCAGGGAAATATTCAGATGATATAAGTTTTATCATACCCGAGGATTTCCCTGACCTAATTGTTTTTAGTATCGAGTTCGACTAAAAAATATTTCATTAGGATAACTCCATTTCTGCACTTTTTACTTAAATCTCAGATGTTTTAGAGGAGGAAATCTTTGAACCAATCACAAGACGAAATCTGTAGCAGAAATCAAAAGACCACTTTCGCGTAAAAAGACAATTTGCTCATTGTCCCAACTTACCTATAATAGACAAAGTGTACTCCTAGAGGTATATCTTTGATGCCTTTAAAGTGTTTGCCAACCCTCCAAAACTTCAGATCAATCCCTAATTCTGTGTTTTCGGGAACATCATGCAAAATCAGTTGACAATCTTTCATTGATCCCAGATTGATTTTCAAATAGCAAAACCAAATGGTTATCGATGAAACTTTACTCTTGAGTTGTTTACGACTCAGCCAATTCTAAACAGCGCTCAATATTTGAAGGAATTCGTTTCTTTGAGTATTTTTAGAGGTTAGAACTTCATGTGAGTCCTCAGGATCAGTGAAAACTATTTTGAATAAAAAGCATTTTTAACATAGGTGTGTAAGTGATAGTCCGAAGTGCTAAAGAAAGTTGTAACATTATCGAATAAATGTGATTACGTCGAAAAAGATATAAGAACAGACAACGTAATAAAAATACCTCATATATTCTGTAATCCAGGCTCCTTTAATTTAACTCCATCTGTCCAACTAATCAGTCCCTGACAACTTGATGATCAATATCTAGTATTGATTTTACTAAGGTATATATAAAAGCTTAATTTCATCAATAAAAACTTCTACATAATCCATAATACTCCACAATACTCTTATGACCTTAGATATGTAGCCATAACAAAAGCTCAACTATTTTGCCCGTATTCTGTTGATGTAACGTGAAAGAATTAGAAAACTCCCCCATATTTAAGGATTTACACAAACAATGGATACAAATTCCCAACTTAGGTGAATCGCCTGACAAATTTCATGAAATGCAATCTCAGCATGACAACAGCAGTTATGCTCGAATGTTATTTATAATAATCACAATTAAATTACCGAATGTAATTAAGTCTTATGAATCAATACTCATAATTAAGGATAACTATACTGGGTAAACACAGTGGGGCTTTACTGGAAATCCTATGGCAACACAACGTTGAAGTTGGAAAACCAATAAAACGACTAACAAACTATTAAGGAAGTCAGTCAGCCAGCTACAATGTAGGACCAGGCACATATATGCAATGATCCAAATTGCCACAACTCATTAGAACAAGGTGAACACCAAATTGATAGACGTTACTTCAATGGTAGTAAAAATAAAATAACATTTCGTAAGAGAATATAGTACAGGAAGAAAGGATTAGTTGGTAGAAGGATATAAAGCAATTTTAATCTCATGGTTTAAGGAAAGACAAAGAGCGTGTACACTTACGCCATTGTGATCGATTCTGAGCCCTGTCACCCAGTCTCCAACTATTGGTTACGATAGTCACGCGCCTCTGAATGCCCTGGTACAGCCGAGAGTGAGGAGAGTTCGCTCTCCCTCTCGAGATGTTCTCACATGGCCACGCGTATATAGTATCTGCCAGGGAAGTCCTACTCACTGCCTTCTCGTGGCGAGGGCGTTGTTTACGGAATTGAGAGGATGAAAAGCGAATGCCCGGCGCTCTAACCGGGTTGGTGGACACGGAGAGCCCACCTAGAGGAATTGGAAAACCCTGATTCCGAACCAGTGGTGCACATGGGCTCCGGTACTCTGAAGGAACAAATGGCGTATGAATCAATTGTTGGTCACAGGCTACCATGGGACTGTATCTCCTTACGACGATTCACTGCCTTGTGGACCAGACATTCAGGTCGAAGGCTCTGGGTGTGGCCCCCTAAGGAAACCCCCTGCTTCGGTTTTGGCACCCAGGCAGTATCATAGCCCTCACACAAATCAAATGAGATTTGTGTGGCGCATATGTGTCTGGTGCCCCCTTGTACCAGTATTTATGTGTTCAAATAAATAATAATCAGTGATAGTCACGCAGACATCAACCAAGTAGTCTGCATCTACCAACATGGCTCAGACTAGAAGTAAATGACTTCAAGAACTGATATCAAGTTTTTTGGCCGCTCCTAACTTACTTCCAACCCTCTCCAACATCACTCAGCATTGCGCGTCGTTGTAATTAGTGATTGAACATACGCAACACGTGGCCCAATCATCTCAGTTGATGAAGTAAATCTTCATCGACTGATTGACCATCATTCCCTTGTACTCTGTGTCTAACCTCACAATTACTTACCTGATTCCAGCAGATGAGAGCAATATTTCTAAGACATATGTGATCAAATACTAGTAACTTACGAGTATCCTTTCTTAATGGCTACGTTTCGCAGTCGCAAAGTAGAACAGGACGAACTGTCGCGCAACATACTTGTTCTTTTATTGATAGACGGATATCTCGCCTAATCCATAGGTGACGTAAGTTGGCAAAAGTCAAACGAGCTTTCTCAATCCGTGCAGAGATTTCGTCAGACACCAACCCACTACGGCTGATCAGACTTCCAAGATAAATAAAGTTGTCAACGCGTTCGACTACTTCACTTCATATCCTTAGTTCTGGTGTTGATGCACGCTAGTCCTGAAGCAATAACTTGCATTTAGAGGGGGAGAAACGCATCCCAAACATCCCGGCATTGTTGCTCAGTGCTACCATAAGACTGCATTTCATCGGCGTCTTCACCAAGCAGGACTATGTCATATGTGTATTCTAAGTTGATAAGTGAACCTTTTGGTAGGAGATCAATTTCTGAAAATTCAGACTACAAGAACGTTATTTGCAGCAGTTGGTCTATAATGAAGTTGAACAATAATGAAGATAGCCTTGTTAGACATCACTTAAGGTTACAAAATCAGATGACAGTTCGCCATAAGCTGTGAATCGACTGGTAGCGTTCGAGTAAGGAACCTTCACAAAGTTTATGTACCTCTGAGGTACGCCTTTCAGAGACAGACTGTCACAGAACCTCTCGGTCTACATAGTAAAATGCTGTCTTTAAGTAAGGAAAAAATATCATTGTCGGACGTCAACAAGCACACAGGTGTTCTAAAACCTGAAGAATAGTGAATATGTGGTTGATGTAGCCACGATCAGGTCTAAAGCCAACTTGATTTTATCGTGTTTTCAGATCACGAGTCCTTTTTAGGTGTCCGATAATTAATGAGACTAGTATTTTAGACACTATATTAGTCAAGCTAATCCCTCTATGGTTTGTTATAGGATGATTTCGATCCTTTCTTACATATTGAGAAGACCAGTGATTGCGACCAGTCAGATGGGATTACGTCCAGTCCCAGGTTTCAGCTGATATATTAGTCAACCTAATCGCTAATGAGGTTTGGCAACTTGGACCGATGCATATATGTGCCTAGTCCCACGTTATAGCTAACTGACTGACCGACATCTGGGCCACCTGCTCTTCATCATTTCAGATTAGCTATAGCTTTTTGAACTTCAACTAGAGTTTGGGGGCCTACTTCAATGTTCCATTCAGGCTGTTTGGGAATGGTGGGTAGTTGTAGAGTAGGTGAAGGCTTGCTGAACTGCTCCTTAGAGTGTTCCACCCATCGTTCTGAACGTCTGGGATGAGGATAGATGGAAGTGCCGTCTTTTTCCGAGATCGTATCACTTACATTTGACTTCTTAATTCCGGTTTATTTCATAAGCCTGGAAAATTTGTCTTGTGAAACCTACAGCCGCTGCCTTTTCCATCTCTTTTGCTTTCTTTGCCCACCACTGCTCACGATCGTTCCGTAGACGTTTAGTTAACCTCGATCTGACTTGTTTTCGCTCTTCATCGTGTTTAGAGCCTGATGGGATGAGTTCACAAAAATCTACCAGTGTAATAGATGTCGCAGAAACCCACTAGTTTTCCGTAACCCATTGGTTCAAATCACTAGTAGATGTCACTGCAGTTTCCAAAGCTGTTCGTGTATCTTTCCATACAACATCTGGATCAGTTTTGTTTTCAAAATTGACTAGGTGTGACTTAAGTTGTTCCTGGAATCTTCTGTTGGCTTGTTCGTCACTGAGTTCAACTCTGATGGGTCTTCTTAATGTGGTTTTTCTGCATCCAGCGAGGTGCAAGCAAATGCGTACTCGTATTAGAGCATGATCTGAGTCCAAACAGGTATTCCAGAACGAGCGACAGTTTTATATTGAGCCTATCCAACGATGACTGATGGCAATATGGTCTATTTGAGTCCATCGTTGGTTTGGTGCAAGGGGTCGCCATGTTAGATATCTCCTTATGCTGAAGTCAGTAGGGGCGTAGGCAGAAATGACGAAAAGGTCCCCATCCTTTCGAGTTCTTATGGAGCCGTTTAGACGAACAGCACATAGGCGAATGTTACCAAGGATCCATCTTAAAAGTGGTTGTTCTGACCTCATACTTAGTACTATGCCTACACGTCAGTCCACGAGAACTAGCTATCGCGTCGCCAGATACACGGAGGGTGTGTCTCATCGGCTTTCCATTTTGGCGAGGTGAGGTCAAGTGGATTACCACACTGGGATCCTATATGCGTGCTTCGGAGACAGCATACACCAGTGGTACAAAATTCTAGCGTTTTAGTAAAGGTGTCCAGCTGGTCGATTTGACATAGGGCGAGTACATTGATGGCTCCAACATGTAGTTTGGAGCGAAGTTTCAGTAGACCTGAGAGTGTTTCGCGCACTAGAACCGTTGACTATGGTGACACTTGAGGAGAACGTTTATAGTTAGAAGTCGACGTAGGAGGAATTATAGGACTTGAAGAGGGAGAATGATTATGAATACACTGATCTCGACTGCTGTTAGAGGTATGAGGGTGGTTGTCACTTCCTGGTTGCCTACAATGTGGAAGGGTTTTCCAGAGTTACCTGAGAAGAAAATTGGGTTAGGGATGGTCTTGGTGACTTGAGAGTGTGACCGCAGTGCCCAAGGGACAACTGTTTGAAGTCGGTCACATACGACGTTTTTGTGAGTAATTTTCATGTTAGCTCCGTACTTGTTGAGGCCTTACCGCTGGAGACGGATATCCGTGGGATAAGGCGAGGCGTGTATATTTACGGTTGACCTTTTCTAACCCCACCTTTCCTTGTGGGAAGGTAGCATCTCTGTTATGCTGGTTGTTTAAAGGAAACACTTTACTTCCGTCACACCTCTGTACAGTCAGCAGTACGACTTCGCCCTCGGACCTTGGGTTTGCTGCTTTTATTCTAACGCTCTTCGTTCAACAAGTCTGGCATGGTAGGACCCTGAGGGACGATTGTTCCATGCAGTATAGCTCGATTGGCATGGTAGGCAAACCTAACCATCACGTCAAGGTAGCAGCAACGGTCGGGACTATCAAGAAAAGATTAAAATGAATGTAACTTGATACAATATAGGCTCTAAGATGTGGGTGCTGTCATGTATTGGTAAAGAGGGGAGAAGGTATAGTAGTTTTGTTTGAGACGTACAACGCTACACAGTCTAGTCTAAACTGATGTGGCGCTCGTAAGTTACGGCTGCTCAGAGAAAACAAGTTATTGACGCATGCGTACGAATGAATCGTTATTGAATAGAAGCATAAATAACTAACAAAGTAGAATATCTTTCAAAATATGGAACCAGACCAGTTTACAGGATCATGACACAAGTGGACGAAAAATCTAACAGTCATACAGACCAGTTTGAATGTCTAACTTTTTAACTATTTGACTGCTGTTGACTCTGAATCTGGACGATTTACGATGTATGGAGTTGAAAACTTCGTACTACACTAATCACTAGTGTAATTACAGATTTTAATTCATAATAATTACCTGTAATTTCACAAAGCCAAGTGTAAATCAACCACTTTTCCTGGTTGGTTTCAACATCAGCGATGTATATAGAAATTACCAAGACCAGTGTTTTACAATATTTCGGCTAAATAAATAAACTAAGTAGGCTTCGGTACTACCTGATATTTATCGAATATAAACGATACCACCAACATATAAACTGAGGATTTTAAGAGCGTGAACAGGAATGTTAGGCGGTTAATATTTGATTACCAAATGGGTTGGCTATACGTGGGTGAGACTGACACCGATATTTCATCGGTCTGACTAGACAAGAATATGGACAATTTAAGAGATCCATGCATATTTCGAGTGCCTAACATTATTTATTCAGAAGGTAGAATAAATTGTTTTAGTTCGATAGCACAATGAGAACGCTATACTTACGGGTTCTAACAGTGGTTGGTTTAAATGGCTTAAAACTGATTGCAATGGTCTTAGAATGATATTAACCAACATTCTGTGTTCTCCAAACCAAGAAAGTTTTCAGTTATAAAAGAGTAGATTTAATAAACATGGACTCACTATCTTAGGGGAACTTTGGGTAAATTGCGGAGTTTCCCCCAAAGTCGTAAGAAATATGGTAGTTTTCCCCAGTGTTATACGATTCTGTGGAAATATTGGGGTAAACCCAAAACTCCCCCAAACATTTTGGGGATTTCCTCAGACCTGGGTAAATTTTCGGGTTTTTGTGCCACTTCTCA